AAGTGAGGGAAACGGGGATGCAATTAAGAGACTTGAGAAGTACCCACAGTCACAAACATATTGCTGGAGATCTATAAACCACATCTCCATGGCGGGGATTACGATTGTATAAGTGAGCGCTACATCACAGCCACTATGAAGAAATACATTGAAGAAAATATATTTATGGAAAGATCGCAACCACCTGGATTCGAGCTCTGTCGAGCAAAATAGTAATAAATCCAAAGACGGTCGCGCTATGCGATCCGCCTCCATACTCTCTAAGAAGTGTCAGTCATTCCATTATTCATAGTTCAGTCATACCTCGTTAGTGTGCAGGGAACGTTTGGGTTTAGGGTGAACTGAAACTGGTTACCTGGGGCGTCTCTTCAAACACTTCCAAACAGAGGCAGAAAACAGCTGCTGCGCACGGAAGGGAAACCAGTAGGTTTGAAAACCAGTAGGGACGTAACACCTGAACAAGAGTGAGATGCATGACTGACCTGCAGTGACCTTTGGCATTGTAGAGAGGACAACCAGCCTCAGATAAAGATTTAGTAGCTGCAAACAGCTTAGAGGTTGTGGTGTCTGAGTTACCCAATAACGCGCTATGGCAGTTACTGCAATTCATTTGCTTATCGGTGTGTGTAATGGTTCAAAGTTTAACATGTCACTGCTGCATGTGTCCTGCTTTGTCTGAGGCTTAGGACATTAGTTAAGGATCTGTGTGTCAGCAGCACTCACTGTAAACTCTTTCATAGACATCCAACATATTTTATTTACTCATCTTTAAAAAGACATTTGTTTTTTAGCTCTTTATGATTTATATCTAGTCTCCAAACACAGAATTATCTTCCTCTTTAGATTTCCACTGTGTGTGACCAGAGAAACAGAGAAACCATGTCTTCAACAAATGACCACAATGTTGTTGTGAGCAAAGACACGTGGGATTCACACAACAGGATGATGTTGGAGCCTCTGTCCGCCAGCGACTCTGAGGTTTGTGTTCAGTGGACTTTAACAATAGAAGGTCTTATCTTCGCCCATGTTCCTGAGACTGGAGCTAAAGTTAAAAGACAGTTATTTCTGGTGATCCTTTGCATGGGGTTGGTGTCAATATTGTAATTTTTCTGAGCTGAAACTATCTATTTATTGTGCATTTTGTTCACTAAAGAGCTTTTGTGACACATTGTTATTGTCCCCTGAACGATACAATATTTGTGTTTTTAGGTGTTCTCCATCATAAAGAAAGAGAAGCACAGGCAGACGTACGGTCTGGAGCTGATAGCGTCAGAAAACTTTGCCAGCAGAGCCGTGCTCGAGGCTCTGGGTTCCTGCATGAACAACAAATACTCTGAGGGATATCCCGGTCAGAGGTAACAGAATGAATCCAATTCTCTATGCAATCCTAATGTTTGATAACGTCCTGTAAGTGGTGCATTCTGCTTTCTCCTACCAATCTGGTAATATTCAGTGTGATCCTTGTTTCAGGTACTACGGTGGTACGGTGCATGTTGATGAGCTGGAGAGGCTCTGTCAGAAGAGGGCGCTGGAGACCTATGGTCTGAACTCAGAGAAATGGGGTGTCAACGTGCAGCCGTACTCGGGTACTAAATAGTGATTAAACATATAAAGCTCTGTTTAATATTTGTTGTAGAGCCTGATTGATGTGATCAGTATTTAGACCTTTATACTCTTCCCCCGTACTCTTTGCTTTTTCCATTCGTTAAACTTCTGTTTACGCTTCCCTGTCAGGTTCACCTGCTAACTTTGCCGTCTACACGGCCGTCGTGGAGCCCCATGGCAGGATCATGGGGCTGGACCTTCCTGATGGAGGTCACCTGACACACGGCTTCATGACTGAGAAGAAGAAAATCTCCGCCACGTCCATCTTCTTTGAGTCCATGCCGTATAAGGTACAAAACAATCATGTAGTTGTCAACACACACCTATCCTTTGAGGCACACTGCTCTTATTGGGGAGGAAGATTAAAAATATGAACAGTTAAAGCATGACTCAGCCTCCCTAAATCTTTTATTTATGATAAGGGTTAAGAGTATAAATTAAACCAGGAGTTTGTCTTCATTTCTTCATCTTAGCTTTAAAAGTGGGCTTCTGAATGACATTTTAAGTTGGGAATAGTTACATCTCAGTTATGGAGTCCTGGACCAAGTTGAACAAGATTAGTCCTCATTAGAGCAAATATGTGCACGTGGCATTGACCTGTGGCTCCTCGTGAGAGCTGAAAATGGTAATAGGCTCGTGATTTGACCAAATGGGGGATTAAAAACAGACAAGAACAGTGGAAACAAACACAAATAAAAATAACCGCCCTCTGGTGTCTTTCTGTGGACATTGTATGCTTCACAGCACATTGTATAAAAAGAAAATACAGGCAATGTACAAAGAGAAAGTGGGCAAAATCTGAAACCTAATACATTAAAGATGTTTTTATTCAAAGTGATTTTAGGTTGTTTCAGTTTAATGAGCTTATGGCCAAAGTACAGTCCTTTCTAAGTATCTCTGTGTTGTTCTTATGTTCTGTTAATCAGATGCTGCTGTTTTGGTGTTAATAAGACATCGTCTTCTGTTTTAGGTGAATCCAGAGACTGGCTACATCGACTATGACAGACTGCAAGAAAACGCTCGGCTGTTCCACCCCAGACTCATCATTGCAGGTACTTCTGCTCTCCGTCTTACTCTCACACACTAAAACAAATCAATGTAAAGAGGAGAGTATTTTCAAAATCCCTGAAAAACCTCACATTCACCTCTGCGTCCGTTTCCTCTCCAGGAACCAGCTGCTATTCCCGCAACCTTGACTACGCCCGCCTGAAGCAGATCGCTAATGAGAACGGTGCATACTTGATGGGAGACATGGCTCACATCAGTGGACTGGTGGCTGCTGGAGTGGTGCCCTCACCCTTTGAGTACTGTGACATTGTTACCACGACCACACACAAGACGCTGCGTGGCTGCCGCTCTGGACTCATCTTCTACAAGAAAGGTAGAAATGGAATTAGACGCTTCTGCCAAAACAAACCACTTCCCTTTTTTTTTGGTTTTGTCATCAAAACCCTCCGCTTTCTATTTCCCTCCTCCAGGCGTGCGGAGTGTTGATGCCAAGGGGAAGGAGACTCTGTACAACTTGGAGTCTTTGATCAACCAGGCTGTGTTTCCAGGGCTGCAGGGAGGACCGCACAACCACGCTATCGCAGGTTCACCTCTTCATCTTTCTCCCTTTTTTTAATTTGGTCCTCTTCAGTCTCATCTCGACTGCCGTTCAGTTATTTCAGCCTCCATCTCATTTGGGTCCTGTTGTTCACTGGCAGGTGTTGCTGTTGCTCTCAAACAAGCCATGACGTCAGAGTTCAAGGCCTACCAGATGCAGGTTCTTGCTAACTGCAAATCTCTGTCCACTGCCCTGATTGACCACGGCTACAAGATTGTGACTGGTAAGTGCCACAGGGCCACTCTACACACACAAAGGGAAACGTATCTAGTATCAGTTGCTGTTGTGCAGAAGCAAATTATATTTACTTCAAAGAAAACCTTTTATTTCCTCCTTCATTTAAATGGGATATATTATGCTCAGTTTCAGGTTTATACTTGTATTTAGTGTTATTTCTATGTAGTTTAATGTTCAAAAAACACTTTTACACCCTCTGTCTGAAACCCTCTGTTTTAGCGCCTATCTCTTAAAGCCGTCTGATCCGTTTGATGTTTCTCAAACGTTCTACAAGGACCTGCTGATTGTGTTAGCTCTGATAATCCCCCCAAAAAATGTTACTTTTCCTCATAATTATGCACCATATTTTTCATAATTAGAAGATCAGGAGTTTAGATTGTTTTCTTCTAATTACAAGAAGCTAAGTGATAAATATGATATGAAAACTTTGTTAAATCTTTAATGAGTGTGGTACACTTCTTAATACTTAAAAAATGCCAACATCACATTAACGTTGAATCTATTTTCATGTAGTTTCATATGATAACTCAAAATATAACCATGCATACTTTTTTTAAAACAAAGCGTGATGACCCACCATGCTGGATGTCTCTGTTTTCTTTCACTGATATATGACTGGTATAAGAAAAGGGGGCTGTAACAGACTTCTGACAGCAGTTAATAACTTCATAGTGTTGCATAGTTTACTGTGTTTCTCTTCTTGTGTAGGCGGCTCTGACAACCACCTGATCTTGCTTGACCTTCGCAACAAAGGGACTGATGGAGGACGAGCTGAGAAGGTTTTGGAAGCCTGTGCCATCGCTTGTAATAAGAACACCTGTCCAGGTATAGTGTGTGTGTTTTTGAACTGATACATGCAGCTCTGTTTGGCCATTGTGTGAGTAATCTTGAGGAAAATAAGTCTTTCCGTTGTTTCTATGAATGTGTCTTTAGATTTGTGGCTCTTTTCCCTGCAGAGGGCCACTCCTGATGTTTCCACATACATGTGTGTTTTTAGGAGACAAGAGTGCTCTGCGGCCTAGTGGTCTGAGGTTTGGCTCTCCAGCTCTGACCTCCAGAGGCATGATGGAGGATGATTTCAAGAAGGTGGCCGAGTTCATTCATAGAGGTAATCTTTTAAATGCCCATATATATATATATATATATTTAAAAAAAGCTTAATTTGCCAAGATATTTACTGAGAATTGTGTTTGAACTGGTGACCAGACCACTGATGGGGGGCCAAGGTATCAGGGTTTTGGTGCTTTAAGTCCTGCTCTGTAGCTCAGTCAACTGAGACTGTCGTAGTATTTAGAACTATCCACCAAAACAAAACAGGATGTCCCATAAATGAAACTGCAACCTAAGAGCCCTCCCCGCTCTCCTTCCTCCTGCAGGTATTGAGCTGACCTTGGAGGTGCAGAGAAGCCTGGATCCCAAGGCCACGCTGAAGGAGTTCATTCAGGCGCTGGCCCAGGCAGACAAGTTCCAGCAGCGGGTAACAGAAATCAAGGCCGAGGTGGAAGGTTTCGCTGGCCAGTTCCCCATGCCAGGCCTCCCTGAGCTGTAGAGGGCTGGACCGATGATTTAAAAAAAAAAAAACATTATAATGCCAAATTTTGCTGGTGTGTTGTTTCGTCTGTGTATTTGTTTTGAGTGTACATGTGTTCATCTGTCACAACTCAAATCAAGATACTTACTTAAGCTTGGAACTGATTTTTCTTAATAGAAAGATTTGCAGACTGCATTGATCCAGTGTTGCTTCAGCACCTTTGCTGTTTGTAGTTTTCCACTGTTGCTTTGGTCTCCAATGTTACGATCACATTTAAGCTTTAATCTCAAATCTAATTTACTGTATTCAATTTACAATTCCAAAGTTTTGTTACACTACTGCAGATTTAAGCACAAAACATGAATATTATTTTCATACATGACACGTACTGTATACGTTTACAACATAATTGTTGCATTCAATTGAAGGATTCATAATAAATGAAACAAAAGATGTTGTGTATTGTCTTTCACTTGAACTGAAAACTGGTGCAGACTAATGCACTAACTACTGATACGCAGCACGTACTTTGAGCTAAACGTGAACATCAGCTAACAATGACAAGCAGGTATAATGTTTACCAAATTCACCATCTTAGTTTAGTGTGTTGGCATGCTGACATTTGCTAATTAGCAAAAGTACAGCTGAGGCTGATGGGAATGTTATTAGCTTGACAGGTTTGTGGTAGTATGGGACAGATTAAAGTCCTGATGGTGTCGCTTGAGAAAAAGTTAAGGGTTCACTAAAGTAATTATAATTCATCCTGAGGCAATCCATCAAATAGTTGATGAAACTTTTTGCTCCAAACCACACTACAACCACTTCATGGTGGCACTAGAAGGACAGTCATGGGATCATTAAAGTCATTAGGATTCATCCTCTGGAGACCACGCATAAGTAGTATATATATATATATATTGCATATTTGCGCGTGCAGTGTGCTGAACAAGTTTGCATGTGCACGTGGACACATTTGCATAATAGTTTTTTTTTTCTTCTAATTTATATAATCATCTGAAAACTGAACTACTTTGCACATGCATGAGAGTGCGTGTGTCCGTAGAGGTGTGTGTGTGTGTGTGTGAAAACTGAACTTATTTACTCATACTGTAGACCAGGGGTCTTCAACGTTTTTCAGGCTAAGGACCCCCAAACTGATAGAGAGATGGAGCAGGGACCCCCGACTATTTATGTTGTATAAAATTGTTTTATATTAAACTGGGCCTCGTGCCGTGTATAAACATACCTCTATTCATACTAAGCTATTCAAATAATACACAGGTTTATATCTTCATGTTTTTATTTTAAACATGTGCAAGGTACAGTGAGTAGGGAGGCCGTGCCACTGCCATTTATAAACATACCTTGTCAGCTGATACCAATCCCAATATCAACATTGTCTGTCAATTGCATGATAATTATGCATACAAGCTATTCAAATTGATGTTTTCATTTTCATTAGTGCCACTGCCATGCATAAACATACCTGTTATCTTGCATACAATACTGAACTATTAAAATAATGGACGGATTCATGTTTGGAAAAAATATATACAAAATTGTCTAATCAACCAAAAATTTCGTGTGTGAAAACTGAACTGCTTTGCGCATGCATGAGAGGGCGTGTGTCCGTAGAGGTGTGTGTGTGTGTGTGTGTGTGCGTGTGTGTGTGTGTGTGTGTGTGTTAACCTCCCCTGAGCCCCCTTCTGTCTCAACAGTCTCGTCTCCCACATGTTGACCAGCAGAGCCAACACACCTCTGTGTGTCCCTCATAATACCCGGTTTGAGTAGGGGGGTCAATATCATTAGCACGATAACAGACTTCAGTACATAGAGGGGTCAGAGGGGGAGAGAGACGAGGAGGTGGGGTATGAGTGGGGTAAGGAGGAGGAGGAGGAGGAGGATGGAGAGCATGAACCCATGGCTGATCAGCCTCGTTAACCGCAAGCGCGCGTTCTTTCAGTCTATGTATTATTTGGGTTACTACTTCAAGCCTTTGTATTAATGTTTGTCCCTCATTGTCATGTGCAGAGCCGTGAGCGCGTATAGTAGATGTTGGGGCTATGTCATAAAAAGCATGGCCAGTAACAGGAGTGTCTTTATCATAAACAAGCACACGGTCACCCACACTATTAACATCATTAGCATCTGTAAGTTTTAAAAATTTTCGGGGCGGAGACATATTGACGCTTGTTATTGTACCCCACAATGTATAACCAACCACTTTAAGACACCAAAAATGAATGTACAATTGACTTATGAATTATGCGATCTTCCTGGAGATGCATTCAAGGACTGGACCCATATCCTCGAGAGCCCTAACCATGTGTCCTGATGTGTTCTGGATATATCTTCTGTTCCTGAACGAAGGCAGCATGGGCCTCACTCCAAGGAAGCTTGTGATCCGTGTCTCTGCTTTCACTGCTATGGTTTGTTCATCATCCCAACGTATGGCTGAGGCCTCTCAGTCAGCACCATAATGAACAAAACAATAGTTAAATATATGTATATACATATATAAAACACCATTGCAAATTAAACTAATCTTTAATGAACACTTTTCGTTTTTTGCTCCTCCGCATGTTTTTCACCCCTCTTAAACTTTAACGATAATCTCCAGGGCGGGGTGAGTTGATATCTATAAGTAATTACAATAAATTAAATGAATATTCTCTTGTGGTAAAAAGAACAAAAGGATTAACACACAAGGGTCATTACTCACCAGTTTTCAATCTCTTGGGCTTCTGAATGACTTCTGGCGTTTTTTCACTGTGCCCCTGTTAGACCGGGGTTTCGGAGGCGTTTGAAAATCGTCTGATGAATCTACAAGTATATGCATTTAAATAAATAGACGTAAAAAAATTAATAAAAAGTATTTAAACCCCAAAACTAAATACTTAGCATTCACTGGAACAAGAGCCTGTTTTCAGTATCGTCATCACTGATATATCCATGAATGAGATCTATCTAATGATGAGAAACTTTAACAACAATCCTGATTTTAAAACACACAGATGACACAGAAATAATTAAAAGAAGAATTAAATACTCACACTTGTTCATGAGCCACGGTGCAAGACAACAAGTTGGAAGAAATGAGTTGGATTCGTTCCAAAATAGCCTCTTGATAGGAGATAGAACGGCTGTCTATCAGAATCAAATGCCGCCACGAAAAGGCTAAAGAATGACTCAATGGCCTTTATATATACATTACCATTCAAATACCCCGCCTACAGGTAACACCTATCGACCATTGCAATAGCATGTACGCGCAAATGAGTTCACACACACACACACACACACACACACACACACACACACACACACACACTCACACACACTTCTACGGACACGCGCCCTCTCATGCATGCGCAAATCAGTTCAGTTTTCACACACCTCCCCTCCTTGCTCAGCCCTGTAAGGGGGACACCCAATGCCGCTACAGTATGAGTAAATAAGATCCCAATGTTCAAATATAACAAAATAAAGATTTGAGGAACATGAAAAAAAAATTGTAAAAATAAAAAGATTTATTTTGGTTTTAGTTCGTTTGCTCTGAGAGGAATAACGTTAAAAGGTGTTAAAATAAACGTATTACACTTTTTTTTAACTTACTTACGTTTTTGAATATTAAATTCTCCCTAAAATAGTATTGATAAGAAAGACCACCATAATGTGGTGCGAGTCTACCAAAGCACTCGATGATCGTTTATTCTGGTCTTATTCCGTCGGGTCAGAGGTCAGTCTGCGCGCTTTCCATCCATCCATCCACTGTTGAGAACCAACTGGTTGAGTACGAAGAGCAGTTCGTGACAAATAAAAAGTCATAGACCGACTAATGTTTGGGATCTTTCTAAAAAACAGTCCTACAAAGCTACGAAGAACAGCAGCTTTTGCGGTTTCTCAAAAGGAAACTCAATAGTTGTTGTTAGCTTATCGGTTAGCCTAGCTAGCCTCGTTAGCCACATTAGCTGGCTGTGGAAGAAAGTACTAGCTAGCTAACCGAAGCGGACATATTATTTGGACTGGAGCAGCGCAAACTAACGCAGACATGCAGGATATGCTGGCTAACGTGGATCACCTGAAGTTTGACTTGGAGCTGGCTATGCAGCAGCAGCTCGGGGCGCAGCCTCTGCCCTTTCCCGGCATGGACAGTAAGTGTTGCATGCTAGCTAGCTGGTACTTAGCCGCAGTAGGTAAACTTTCAGTTAACGGTAAAACGGATGGTAGCTAACGGCAGGTAGACACTGACACCTGGCCGGTGGTGAGAGTTCACGTTAGCTTCGTGTTCCCTCCCTCCCATGTCTTTATAATACTTGTAATACTTTGTGTCTCTGCAGAATCCGGGTCTGCTGTGTGCGAGTTCTTCATGAGAGCAGCATGTCAGAAAGGTAAGTTAAAAACACATCAATCCAGCACGTTAGTGTTTCAATTCAACAAAGGTGAGGACTCGCAAGAGATGCATTACAAACATAATGGCCAAAACGGAAGCAGCGGAGGCAGAGTTATCCTGACTTTTAGTGTTTAGTACGAGTCAAGCTTCAAAAACACCTAATCCTACATTTCCCATAATGCATTCAGATCATTATAGATAAATTATAAGAAATACTGCTCATGTTCAAATATTAAGATGACATCCATCGTTCACAAATATCCAAGGATTGAAGGATAATGTATTGTCATTAACTAAATACATGACAAACAAAACAAAAACAGTCGTACATTCCTGTACAAACAGCAGCAACAAAACAATTTTCGGGGCAATATGGCCGACATTTTTACATTAAATAATTAAACATCAAGGAAACATTGTCCATCAATGTAGGGCTGAGTCGTGATTTGGCTTAGGGTGTATTCTAATGCAGAATCTTATGGACAAAACAAGCGTCAGTTTTTGCTAAGACTGTGAAGATTTGAGTTTTGTGAATTAGGAAAGTTGCACCATCACTTGTGTCTTTATTTGTTTCCGCTCCCAGGTGGGATGTGTCCGTTCCGCCACATCAGTGGAGAGAAGACGGTGGTGTGTAAGCACTGGCTCAGAGGACTGTGTAAGAAGGGAGACCAGTGCGAGTTTCTCCATGAATACGACATGACCAAGATGCCTGAATGCTACTTCTACTCCAAGTTTGGTTGGTTGACTTGATATTTCATAAAATCACACAGACGAGCCCAACGACTGTATTTGCATTGTGACCGTTGAGCACCCAGTTGTTAAAATGCCCAGAGTGCATTTTGTCTGTTTTTAATTTGTGTTTAAATCCCACAGGTGAGTGCAGCAACAAGGAATGTCCATTTCTGCACATTGATCCAGAGTCCAAGATCAAAGACTGTCCGTGGTATGACCGAGGCTTCTGCAAACACGGTACGTCCTGCTCACACAAACATTCCAACACCACTGATATCAACACACTGTTTATACACATAGTTATTCATCGCAGCCTCTTTACTTTCTGCTGGGATCTTTATCCATCTTCCTGTCACAGGTCCTGACTGCCGACACAGACACACAAGAAGGGTGATCTGTATGAACTACCTGGTGGGCTTCTGTCCAGAGGGAAAATCCTGTAAATTTATGCAGTACGTTATCCTTTTTATTTGATTCCCGTCATAATAGAAATGTGTGTGATTTGCAGGTCAAATGAAATGCACCACTTGTGACTTGTTTTAGCATTTGCTTTATTATTTTTTGATGAATTATGTCATCTAGGACAAAAGATTGAGTTAGCAATACAACCTGAATTATTGGAGACTTCCCCTGACAGTGATGTAGATTAACAGTGAGATGTTCCTCTACAGCCCTCGTTTTGAATTGCCTATGGGAGCTTCTGAACAGCCTCCTCTACAGCAGCAGATTCAGAACCAGACAAAGGTAAGAGGAAACTTACTCAACCACCGAAATACACGCATGTGCTGAAGCCTCTACCTCGGTGCTCTGCTCCATGTTATTTACCTGATAATCTTTTCACTTTTCCTGCTACAGCCTGTTCCTACTATCGGTCGCTCGTCGCTCTCTCTCATCCAGCTGACCAACTCCAGTCCAGGCCTGCGGCCGCAGAACCACATGCCTCACATGGGTCACATGGGTCACATGGGTCCTCCTCATCATCAGAATAACATGCCAGGCAACAGAGGGCCTCGGCCACTGGACCAGGTCACCTGCTACAAGGCGAGTCACCTGAACATTTGTCTGCTAATGTATTCCTGTGTGTTCAATATCCCCACTAAGGCACCGCTCTCTCACTGTAGTCGTAATACCGTAAAGCAAGTTTGACATTCAGGTAATATGTTATTGGCTTTCTTGCCGAGAGGATCAATACCACGCTCGTCTTACGTAAATATGAAGCTACAGCCAGCAGCTGTTTTAATACTTTACTTTTACAAAGTTATTTTCAAACGTGCAACATTACGGTTTCCAGGTGCAACAACTCAGTCAGAGAAAATGAAATGAACAAAGATCATAATAATACAGCCGGCTCCAGCTAAATATGTATGTGCATACATGAGTGGTGTTGATCTTCTCATCTAACTCTCTGAAAAAAAGAAGCCAATAAGAGTATTTCCTCTCCCCCATCATTTTAATAATGAGCCATTAATATCTTCCCTGTGTCTGTAGTGTGGGGAGAAGGGCCACTATGCCAACAAATGCACTAAAGGTCATCTCGCCTTCCTGAGTGGACAATAACCGTCAGCCTTGAAGTCTCCACGGTGCTGCTGCTGCATCCTCATGTGAGCAGAGGAGGCCTCTTTGCTCAACAGGCTGAAGTTTAACTGAAAGACTTTGACTGCCACTGTTGTGAGTTTATACACACAGGCAGCAGGAAAGATAAACATAAGCTTTTTCTATTTTTTGTGGATACATGGAAAAAAACAGACGGTCACAATCTGTGTGGTTGAATGACTTGTACGTTAGTCTTCGGAGTTTTCTACGTTTGTACTGTAAATAGACACCAGGGTCCAACAGGTGTAGTGCTGTAACATGTTGCAGCTTCTTTACAGGTTAAATTGTTATCTTGGGTCATGTGACTGCATCAGTGACACCAGACCAGTCTGTGTGAAAGAAATACAAAACAATTGTGATAAGTACCAGTAGGAATGTAAAATCATGCAGCTTCTACTCAAACTACTGTAGAGAGCCCAAATCCACCCTGCAGAGTTTCATACATTCAACACCACCGTAAGTCTTCTGGCTGACATTTTAAATCCTGGAAATGATTCATTTCTTCCCCGGGTGTCCTGTGTTAATTCAAATTTTACCCAAAGATGTTTGGCTCAGCTGAAAACTGTCAAATGATGTGTTGTATTGAAAGTCTGAACATAGTCCCTCAAACTGTACAGTGTGTTCAAATAAATGTCTTTGTTACAGATTTTTCCTATTATATTTATATTCCTGTAACAGTGAGAGCTCCACTTCAGATTAGTTGAAAATTGTCACTATGAACACAGTTTAATAACTGGAACAAACTCACACAAACATGATATCCAACAATAAATCTTAGTATTGTTTATTGGTCAAAACAGTCACATATTGAACACAGAGCTGAGAGTAGAAAGAGCAGTTGGAGCTCAACCCCTGAAGGCTGAAGGGGCTCAGTGGTACTTCCTCCAGCGGTCATGTTCTGGAAGAGAAGATGGAGAGAAGGACGTTTAAATGAAATGAAAGTTGTTTTTTGCTCTCCGAAAAAACACTTTAGAATGTTCTACCTTTTACATTAAACAGTGAGTGCATGCATGTCTTACTGATGTGGTCGTACTCCCACAGGTAGCTCATGGCCATATAGCCAACCAGCAGCATAGCTACACCACCGATGCCTCCCTTCTTCACGTTAATGTACTTGTTGTAGTATCTGTCGTGGCCTGGAAGATAAAAACAAAACAGCATTAACCTCAGCTCAAGACATCTTGATTCTCAACTACACGGGCCGTTCGTCGTCTAGGAACCCTCGTAAATGTCAGTAGAAATACCCTTTAAGAAGTCCAGTTAAGCGTTAACTCTGAAGAGCTTTTCACAAAGCTACTGAGAGCAACTTTTACTGAGGGACTGGACCCCATTGCTATGGATGACATGTTTCATAAATGAAAGACAGTTCATTCAAGATCTTTTAGACTTGTCGAGTTTGCTTTCCCCCGTTGCAACTTGATCAATTGAAAATGGAGGAAAGTTTATGTGTCGGTATCGTAAAGTTCCTTTATTATAATGGCTTCCCTCTGCTGCTTTATTATAAAATGGTAGCTGGTGTTCTAAAAAACCAAAGCCTGCATATCACAAGTCAATCATATTGATTACCGCACTCTTTTTTTTGTGCATGAAAATTTTTTCGATAGTTCCTCCCTTGATAAAGTTGTTTTAAGTCGGAACAGGTGGTCTCACCTCTGCGGACGGCTGAGATGAGGCCATTGGGAGTGAAGTCTCGACCTCCAAGCCAGGATCCCAGCTCACCCAGTTTCACGTCCATCAGCCGCTTCTCGATCACGGGAACTGGTCACAAATGGAGACAACAGAGACAGTTTGATCACACATCGTCCATAACGAACACATCATGCTGTGGCTCCGGTAGTTTAACACCAACTCGCTCACTTACATCTGTAATACTTTCTATCTCTGGAGCTAACTGTTGACACATTTGACATTTCATGGCTGCCTTGTTACTTTGAACAAGCTACTCTTTAAAGCCCCACAGTAAATAAAAGCACTGCCTTTAGTGTTTCATTTCTGTTCGGTTAATTTGTTTTACTTTAAAAATTAAACACATAAGTGATCAGATTGGGGTAACGGTAACATGCACCGGTTTGCAGGCTATCGTGCAAGCTAGCCAACAGAAACTTCGACATAACTTAAAAATGCAAAGACAACGTAATTATGATAGAATCGGCCAAACTGCAAGTCATATCTAAAGCTTCCGATCAGCAGACATGACGGTTAAATGTACAAAAGCGACTGACAGATTCACTCCAACTGCTAAACCGGCAATGACACGCAAAGTCCTTGACGTGACTTAAAGGATTCACTGCGGCCTTCAGTCCGACACAGCCCTTAAAGACGACTCATAAACGGTCTATGTGCCAACTGAACACAACGCGTCTGTGAAACATAAAATACACCAACAACGAAACACACAAAATTGAAAATTTGAGGTTTTTTTTGGCAGAGGACACGCTAGTTTACCTGGTCTGTCCGCCATCTTGACTGGTGCGAAGTAGCTTGCAGCGGGGGATGATGGGTATAAAATGACAAAGTGCATTATGGGAGAATATTTAGAGTTTTAATTCTATCCACTAGGGGGCAGCAGAACCAACATAACCAGGAGTCTCAAACTGAAAGCATACATCTATGAACAACAAGCACAATCACACATTACAACAAACTACCGGTAAGTGTATTTAAAGGTCCATTCAGACATGTTCTAGGACATTTATCATTTATTGCAAGACATTTTTTTTCACACGTTGATGGCAGTTAATCAGGTACACCTGCTCATATTGTTAGATAGGTTTATATTCATATACTGTATACCTTTGGATATATATTTATATTTATGTTGTACATAGACTTTAAATGTTTATGCTTAAATCTGTTCTACTTTTTCTTTTTTTGTGTTGTCCTTGTTTGTTATTTTTTATATTTTATTCCTGTTTATTTGTAAATTCTGTGTCAAATTCCTTGTATGCGTACGCATACATGGCCAATAAAGCTGATTCTGATTCTGATATTCAGAGAAGGGTGGACCAGATGCCACAAGGCTGTGGAGCTCTGGAGCCTGATGGTGTTCCTGTGGGTGCTGAGACCCTATGAGGCCCCCAGGGGAAGAAGGCTGTAAAGAGTGCGACCTGTTGCAGACCAGATCCAGCGACAGGTGAGGACAAGCTTTTTATTTCTCTGTAGGGTCCTCTTTTTAGAATGTTGTCAGACACATAAAGAAATAATCTGAGCCTGTCAGGGGCACTTTTAATGAATCCAGGTTTGAATATACTGGAGTTACCCTTAAAATGCTTTCATGCATTAATATATGTTCAAAGTCACAATATAATTTGAAAATACTTTGACCCAGAGACATATAGGTAACTAAATATACACATCTGTTCTGATTCCTCAGTTTTTTGCACAACCTCATGTTAAACCTCTCTCTCCTTTAAAAAGCGAGTCAGATCTCATGCATTTTGAAATAGTGACCTGAAGGGTTTTCCACACTGTCTCAAAGGAATACTTTTTCTTTTCAAGAGAGAGGAGCCGATCAGTGAGCAGCACAACGGCCAGTAGCGCTGGTCCACATAATGTACCTGAAGATATAGCGAACATATATAGTGTGAGTGTTTGTGTGCGTGAGTGGCAGAGGTGGTGCTGTGGTAGTTCAGGTCCCTTCTCAACACGCCCACCGATCAATACAGCTCTCTCTCTACCCTCCTCTCTCTCTCTCTCTCTCTCTCTCTCTCTCTCTCTCTCTCTCTCTCTCTCTCTCTCTCTCTCTCTGCTTTGGCCTTCATCCAAGACTGAGCGGCAACCTCTTTCCTTTATCTGACTGATTTTCCTGCTTCACTCTAATGACCTGCATTAGATGGAGGACTCATAGAGATGTCCAACATCCACCCTGTTTTTTTCCCCTTTTCACTGCATCTCTCTCTCTCTACACACACACACACACACACACACACACATGAACAGTATGTATGTGTGTATACATACACATACATATTTGTGTTGAACATGGCTGAATCTTTTCCAGGTTTTGGTCTTTGATGTTGATGATTCGGCTCTCTTCACTGAACACTCCAGTGTTGCTAATTTTGCTGTCTATTGGAGAAATGTTCTTTTGTCCATGAAATAATGAAGTGCTGCAGACTCTGTGCTAATTCTCTTTAGGGTCATCAATGTGAGGGACTCCTTTTATACACAAGTAGTCTTAAGATCCATTGTTAATATAAAAATATTAGTGCAGCATTGAAGACAAAAAAATGAAAACAAAAAAAATGGCCGCGTAAAAGCCGTGCATGGCTATTTTTGGAGGCCCAATCAAATTTAAAGGTGCCCAGTTGGGCAGAAAACTCATCATGAAGGTCACACACTTGTTTGAAGCCAACATCTTGCGTCTGTCTGATTTACACACACCGCGGGCCAGAACCTCTAATCCAATCTCACTCGATGCCGCTGAGAAGCCGGCACTCGCCCCCAGAGGTGGCAGACTCCCAAATGCACTCATCGAACACCTACACACACACACACACATGCTCTCAGATGCAAACATACAGAGACGTAAACACACTGTGCACACGTGCAGAGATAGACACGAGCACTCACATTTTCATTTGGACTGTAAAGGTTACCGACAACTCTGTAACATAAACTCATTTAGAGACCAGAAATGACCGTGTGGTTCAAGCTCCACCTGCGTGTTCGTTGGTTTAGTTTGTTTGTTATAGCGCTGCCTAGGGCCCCACTGCTCTTCAGAGGAGTGTGTACCAGCCACACACACACACACTTAAAAAAGCACTTGGGAACGGATGATTTTATTCCACCTCAAGAGGCAGGTGCCCTCGAGGTCTGCCACAGAGACAGCTCTTTGAAGCTGATGGAGAGAGATAGAGGGAGATAGAACGAGAGATGGAGGGAGGGAGGGAGGGCAAAGAATAGAGGGACAGAGAGAGGAGACAGGGATGAAAGAGGACGAGGGCAGAAAAAAGATGAAGACTAAGTACACACAGGGTGAACTGGCAGCAGGAAGAGAATGATGGAGGGAGATAAAGGAAAAAGGAGAGAGGAGAGGAGGGGACTGAGCCCATGTCTCTCTCTCTGCACACGGCTCTCTAATACACATGACCTTTAAACAGCCACTCTCCCACTCACTCCCTGTTCATCCATCCTTCATGCTCCACATCCTCTTTCATTTCATTTTTTAGACTTCTCATTGTGTTTTCTTTAAAAGCAACACTTCTCTGCTCTCTCCGGTGATTTCTCTTCTCCCCATCTGTAACTATCTCACCCTCACAGTCTCCTCTCGTCCCTGTCTATCACATTGATTCCTCTCCTCCACATATTCCTGCTCTTTCGCCCTCTGTGTCTCTCTTCTTTCTCTCTTAACTCGCTCCTCATCATGAACGCCATCTCTTCCTCCTCCTTCTGACCTGTATATGTTTCTCTTTCCTCCTCTCTCTCCCGGTCGAGAGCTCACAGGTGGAAAGACGGGCAAAAATGAGCCAAACAGATAGACAGGCAGGCAGGAGGAGTGGGTTGTGGGTAATGGATTCATCAACCCTTCTATTACTACAATAATCTCACTAGAGATATGGAGATCATCAGGGGAGCTGCATAAAGGAGCTCGCTGGCCTGATGACGGTCCCAGAGGAACCTGTGTGTGTGTGTGTGTGTGTGTGTGAGAGAGAGAGAGAGACATAGATGAATGAAGAGAGGGGAAAAGAGGATACTACATGTGTAGAAAGACTCCACAGGGACCGTTTCATTCCTCACGGCAATATTGGCTTTAGCCACTAAATCAAACTTTCACATTCATTCACACACTTAAATGTAATGGGCGCTAATGGCACATTGACTAATCGAAGCTACACGTCTGCTGAATACAAAACAGACCTGCAGTACACTTCAAACTTTGCTTGAATCTGGTAGTGATGGAAGAAGTGGCAGAATTATTTGTGAAGCGTTAGTAGAATGATAAAGGTGGTGCTTATCCTCACTTAACATTGACAACGTGTACATTGTTTGATAGCACAAAGCTTCATAATTCTCGGTGTAGAACATTTCACCTTTTTTGTCCAACTGCTGAGAATGAGCTCTGGTGCTCGACATTGACCTTCTTTCTACTTTTAAAGAAATACTTTGACATGTATTTCTTATTTGCTATCTTTCCGAGACTTAAATGAGAGCACTGCTATCGCTCTCATGTGTGCATTAAATGTGGAGCTATAGCCAGCAGGTGCGTAGCTTAGCTTAGCATAAAGACTGGAAGAAAAGGGAAACAACTAGCATATAGCTCTGTCCAATAAGATGTGAATGCAACACTAAAATATCATAACCTTTTTAAGTTGATATGACAAACTTGTTAGCAAACAGTTGCCTATTATTTACACATCCAGAAACAAGACATGGAGCAACATTAGCATTCATTTGGAGCCTTTTTTCTGACCACCTGGCAAAAGTGAGTCCAATATTTACTCTCCTTTTAGCGCTGCTTTTGGTCTCCACCACCTCCTGGAGGAATTAGCTGACTGTTTAGCAGCTAAATGCTCCACTATGTTCACCAGCTTGTCGCAGATCTTTAACAGACTTCATTACTTATAGTCAGTCGGTCATACAGCTGTATGTATATACAACTGTATACATATACCTTTCTGTCTAGTTTTAAACATGCTCACATGCATAAATAAACCTGTTATCACAGTGTCCTTTTCTCCATGCTCACATGCATCAACCCCCATTGATCACACCAGTTTGTTTGATGACTTGTGATGCTGGGTTTGTCTCTGGGACGTGCTTTAAACTCTCTTCAGTGGAAAGTCTCAGTCGATCTGAACCTCGTATCCTCACCCTGAGCAGAAACTGCCCGTAGCATCTTGTGGCACTCTGTTTCTCCTCCACTTTGCCCGATTAATTCCGTAACGTAACATCAATTTTCATTGTTACTGCAAGGACGCAGTTATATGTCTCTATAAAACGGAACTGTACAAGCCAGTAGAGCCGGACGTAGCAGATTTTTATTTAAAGCCAGGAGCAGCAAGCTCTTGTGTGAATCTTTTCTTTCTTTCAAATGGAAAACATTTCCAAGATCCTATTTCTTGATCTTGAAAAAGCTTGAAAACACCTTGATTGAATTAGAATTCTACCTTTTCTATCAGTTGTAATGTCTTTGCTGGTTAACTCTCCTCTAACACCACCGTAAGCTCAACATTAAAATGTGTCCAGTGCTTTGGTTTATGACCAAATACCTGCGAAACTAACCATTCCCTATTTAGCCTCATCTGTACTTTGTGTTTACTGCTAATTAGCAAATGTTAGCAAGCTAACATGCTAAACCAAGATATTAGGTTAACATTATACCTGCTAAACATCAGCATGTTAGCATTGTCTGGTGAACATGATGTCATCCTAGAATTTAGCTCAAAGCACACGTGTACAGCCTCACAGAGTAGCATGGCAGTAAACTCTTTTTGTTTAATTGATATCCCTTTAAAAGTCGGTAGTGTTTTCTGTTGTCAAGCCTAATTGAGCACAGCCGGACAG